CTTCCCCAGATTTGCCCTGAACATGTGCTACTACGGCATCAGCCTGAACGTAGAGCACCTGAGCGGTTTGTCACTATCTTGTAACAAATCTAATCTTCGGCACTTATATGACCTTACAGTGTTGCAAGTGCCGTAAAACACTTTCTAAAACTAACTATGACCTGATAGTGTTTGCAAGTGCCAAAAATCTCTTACTAAAACTAAACGAAAACTTCCCCAGATTTTCCCTGAACATGTGCTACTATGGCATCAGTCTGAACGTAGAACATCTCAGCAGTTTGTTACTCTCTTGTAACACCTCTAATCTTTTGGCGCTCATATGACATTATGAAGCTGCGAGTGCAGTTAAACCTCTACTAAAACTAAAACAAAACTAAACTAAGACTTCCCCAGATTTGCGCTGAACATGTGTTACTACGGCATCAGCCTGAACGTAGAACACCTGAGCGGTTTGTCACTATCTTGTAACACATCTAATCTTCGGCACTTATATGACCTTATAGTCTGGCAAGTGCCATTATACGGGGTGCTCACTACGGTTGAGATCGGCCGTTCGTGCAGATAGCCCGACTCGATCGCCTCTAAAACAAACATGCTTGTTTTCAGTTTCAGGCGATCGAGTCGGGCGATCGGCCTGATCCATCCGTAGTGGGCACCTAGTAAGATTAAGAAGCTCTAACTTAAACTAAATGAAAACTTCCCCAGATTTGCCCTGAACATGTGCTACTACGGCATCAGCCTGAACGTAGAACACCTGAGTGGCAACCTGTACCTGAGCTATACACTCAGCAGCGTCGTGGAGACGGTGGCCATCATCGTCATCCTGTGCTTCATCAAGAAGTTTGGGAGGAAGCCGCTCTACTGCTGCAGCATGATGCTGGGATCTCTGGGCTTTCTTCTGTCGGCTTTCCCTATTTACCTCGGCTCTGAGAGTGATCAGGTGGGTGGAGGAAGATGATGAAACTCTTAATAGTGTTTGATGTAACTAATAATAGGTAGCATTTGTGAGGCGTGCTGATATAATGAGTTACTTCTCGCAATCTACAAATAGAAATATTGGCAAAAAATCGACATTAGGGTCAATTTTTAGATTTTCAATTGATGCCGTATTCTTTAACTATAACCTGTCTTTTATTATTTCATACTTATAAATAGTAAAAACTTCACCTATAAACGTGATATATCTATTTTCTAAGGGCTTCAATCGGAGAAGTAACTCATTTTGTCAGCACGCTTCACATTTGTATAGCGCAAGTCCCCGCTCAACAGCAAGCTCTATGCGCTTCACAATCTATACTAACATATAACTTCACTGTATCATGTGTTTGAAAATTTAACCTTCCCTTAAAAAAATGCAAGCTTAAAAATCTTTTGTTCATATTTGAACTTTGAACATTCCTTCTTCATTAGCCTAAAATATTTTGTTTGTATTTAAAAAATCGAAGCATGCCTTTAAAATATACAATCTTGAAAATATTTTCTTCCCGTTTGAAAATGCAACCTTCCATTTTAAAAAAATGCAAGCTTAAACAATTTTATTTTTGTTTGAAAGTGCAACCTTCCATTAAGAAACCCCCACAAGCTTAAATGTTTTTGTTTGAAAATGAAACCTTCCATTTGAAAAAATGAAACCTTCCATTTGAAAAAATGAAACCTTCCATTTGAAAAAATGCAAGCTTAAAATATTTTGTTCTTGTTTGAAAATGCTACCTTTCATTTGAAAAAAAACAAAACAACCTAGCTTGTTAAACTATTTTGTTTCAGAAATATTCCCTTGGCTTGGTTATGGTGGGAAAGTTTGGCACGTCGGCGGCCTTCGCTGTGATGTACGTGTACGGCTGTGAGTTGTTCCCCACCAGCATCCGTAACTCTGCCATGGGAATCAGCTTCGTTGTCGAACTTCTCGGAGGAGTTGTGTCCCCATACATTGTGGACCTGGTAGGTTGACGGAGCTTTTTCTTTTTCATTTCTTCTTTTCTTCTCCTGTCCCTGTTTCTCGTGGGTCATCATCATCATCGTCATTGCCTTTCTCACCGTAGGTCAGGATATAGGTCACGAAAAACACTTTCCACCTTTCCCTATCCTGAGTTAGTCGCTTGATGTCACTCCACGTCTTCCCACTTTTCTGTACATCCATTTTCGTGACTCTTTTCCAAGTTCCATGTGGTGTTCCCCTTGATCTTTTACCCTGTGGGTTCCAATCTAACACTTTCCTTGTTGTACAGCTGCTCGACTTCCTGAAAGTGTGTCCAATCCATCGTCAACGCCTTCTTCCCACATCATCTCTGACTGGGCTCTGTCTCGTTCTTCTTAATACTTCCTCGTTGGTGATCCTGTCTGTCAATCTGATCCTCAGTAGCTTCCTCAGACACTTGTTTAAGAAAACCTGGGTCATCTTTATGCACATCTGAGATGGGTTCCACGTCTCGCATCCATATAACCCCCCGGGGGCAGTGCCACTGATTGTAGTGTCTTTAGGCCATTCCCAAAGGGGGGACATTTCTCGTTCATGCACAGTAGAATTGTAAATGGGCTGATTCATCATGTCACGCTCATAACTGTGCCTGATCTACAACAGGGAACTGCTGCTTTTTCTTTCCCAATCCTTACTATTGTCATTTCCTCTATTTCTTTTGTATGTTTGTTACACTCTTGTGACTCACTATTTCCGGGATGCCTTGATAGTCGAAGCAGACTTTGTGCTGTTGAAGCCAGAGAGGTGAGCAGAATAAGTCTGATTCCCTGTAAGGACTTCTCTGTTGACACCCACCCTATGGCGCTCATTTGACCTTATGCAGTTGCGAGCGTCGTGAAACCCTCTACTATAAAAAAATAATAAAATAAAAACATCGATATAACATGACTGACTTGACATTTGAGTTGAACATTCTCAACTTTGTCTCCCCATATGTTGTGGACCTGATAGATTGACAGAGCTTTTTCTTCTTCTTCAGAGCTTTTTCTTCTTCTTCATTTCTTCTTCATTTCTTCTTTTCTTCTCCTGTTCCTGCTTCTCATGGGTGGTTGGCGGGTACTCTAGTGTGGTTTGTTTCTTCTTTCCTCTGAAACATAATCTGTTATCCTCCCTGACCTGTTTCTTTGATTTCAGACGAAGATTTATATAGGAGTGGCTAAACTTAACTGTTGCACTCTTAGAGTTTAACCTGCCAGGGTGTCTTTTACAAGTTTAGTATAACAAGCACTTGGGATGAGATTTTTTTTTCCCCATGTCTGTGAAAGCCACTTGCTCTCTCCTTCCTACCATGTGATCCAGGGCAGAAAAATCTGAATAAAAGACTGGAAGCCATCAACCAATCGTGCTTGTGTAGGCAGATAGGGCTAGCTCTTTCCCACGAGGGGCAAGAACTTTACCTTGGAAGTTTTCCAGATTAGGAAGAGCATTTGGTCGCTTTAAAGGACTAGTGGGCTAACCCAGATTTCGGGGGTTTCCAGAAATCTTGACCTACACCAAAAATGGACATTGCCCTACCTATAGGAGAAGGTTGATTTCTTTGGTGTTTATATTTGTTTGGTTATAAAGAAACCCTCCTTGTTTTTTAAAGAAACTGAACAAGGAGGGAACACTTTACCTTCGATTTTATCACAACAGCATTTTTCGTGATAGCCCCCTTGTGCTTAAAAGTGACCATTTGTGGTTATCCGTATTTAGATAGAGCTAGCTCTTTCACTCGAGGGGCAAGCACTCTACCTTGGACGGTCTCCAGATTAGGAAGAGCCTTTATGGTTATCTGTATTTTTTACTACTCAACATTTTTCAAGAACTTTAACTTTGTCTGTTTTGTACTGTTCTTGTAATCAAGTTTAAAAAAAAAATGTTTCCTGATCTGTTCTGTTTACAGTTTAGTGCTAAATGAAAGACAGAAAACCCTTCCACACAGCTGTTACTTTGCAGTCCAGTAGGTGGCTGCAAAATGTCATGAGTTTGCGCCCCCTGGTCAGCTGTGTGGAAGGGTTTTCTCTCTTTCGTTTAGCACAGTCGACTTTTGTGGGTGGTTGGTGGGTGCTCTGGTGTGGTTTGCTTCTTCTTTCCTATCAAACTTCTATTTGTCTTTATCTCCCCTCCTTCTTTTTTGTGTTTGTTACTCTCTTGTAACACCTCTAGTCTTCGGCACTTAAATGACCTTATTGTGTTGCAAGTGCTGTAAGACTCTTACTAAAACTAACTAAAAATGTCAACTTTTTTTCCCCCCCTCACAGGGTAAACTTATAGGCGCTGAGAGCGCTGCTGCTTTCCCCATGTTGGTGTTTGGAGCTGTGTCTTTCGCCGCTGCCCTTTTGTCGCTGGTGCTGCCCGAGACGAGGAACCGGCAGCTGCCTGAGACGGTGGAGGATGCGGTGCGCTTTGGTCACCTGGATATTCTCTAAACCTGTCCGTACGTCGTGTTTTACTGTCGTATCCATACGACGTGGGAAACTCTGTGACACCACTTAACCCTATCACATACGTCGTGTTTTACTATCGTATCCATACGACGTGGAGAACTCTGTGCCACCACTTTCCAAAAAGAAAATTTACTTTTTAATCTGATCCCTACGCTTTGCATGGCTGTCTGGCAAAATGATTTTTTGAGAAATACTGAAAGTGCCAAAGAGATCTTCACTCTAGAAGTATTCTAAAATGCGAAGAATACAATCCTGGGGGTACAAAATGAGCCCAGGGTGTACGGATAGGGTCAACACTTACAGTACAGAAGGCTCATTTACTGAAAAACCCTCAAGTACCGCACCAGTTTAGAACGCTGAAGTCAAGGTAGAATTTTTTAAACCCTATCCGTACGCCCTGGGGTCATTTTGTTGTACCCCCGGGATTGTATTGTTCACATTTTAGAATACTCCTAGTACGAAGATCTCTTTGAAACTTTCAGTATTTCTCAAAAAATCATTTTAATAGACTGTAATGCGAAGCGTATAGATTGGATTAACGAGTAAATTTCCTCTTTGGAAAGTGGTGGCACAGAGTTCCCCAGGTTGTATGGATACGATAGTAAAACAAGACGTACGGATAGGGTTAGCACTTACAGTACTGAAGGCTCATTTAGTGAAAAACCCTCAACGCAAGTACAGCACCAGTTTAGAACGCTGAAGCCACGGTATAATTTTTTTAACATAAAAGAAAAAACCTTCGCAGCCGAAGAAACCTGCTTTAGAAATTCACAGAGGTTCTTCAACTATTCAGCTACTATCAAATAGAGTGACCTCCTTTAGTACCAGTATTTACTTCAGTGCAGTGGCTTTGTTCGTTCTTTAATTGTGTTTAGTGTGCGTGGTAGAGTCGCTGGCTAAAGTCCCCAGCGGTAATGAGCGCGTACTACGGTCTGGCGAGTAAAGTCACCGACTGTACTAAAAGTGTAAACGCATCGAGGACCTGGTCATTTGCGACTGCTTGAAGATGCACTGTTTGGGGTACTTTCAAACCGAGGCAAAACTTCGTTCTTCATGAAGATTTTTCAGTCATCGCCTCTTTGTCCGAATTTAAAACGGCCAGTAACATTATGGATGCTATGAAATATGCAAATATGTGTTTCTGATTTGTTTATGAATGTTGAAAACGTGCCACAACATGTTGTAATTGGAATGTTGCTGATCACACATGTGTTATTATTACATTCTTAAAGAGTTCATATTTTTTAATTGGGAGAAAGTTGCTGTGGAGCAGTGGCTATGACATTTTCCTTGTGGTCTAGAGGTTTTTGGTTTGTCTCCCTCGTACATTTTTCAGCTGTTATTTTACAGAGGTGCCTAAATTTGGGATAAATTCAGAAATTCTGATTCTTGAAATTGTCCGAACTTTGTCCGACTTCAGGCTGACTGTTGAGAAGATGTTGCACTTTATGTAAAAACAGTCTTGTTACGAGTTCTCTTGGAGAAAATGATCCAGAAATTTTGAGTCCTTGTGCACATGTTTCCAGGGAGTCCAAAAAGATCAGTATTATTTTTTTTTCATAGCCAGCCGACACTTCATATTTTATATTTCTGATACTTGGTCAGTTGTGCGGGTGGCCATATTAGATTGTAACTGTCTTGTGACAGTAATTGCTAGTGTATTGAATAGGTCAATTAAACACTGCTTAAGCTGACATTTTCCTTTTGGAGATTTTATAGTTGCCCGCTGCTATGGGATTGCTGGGTTTTTTAATTAAATGCTTTTTTTTATGGTTCAGGTTTGAGGCGGGCATGGGTGAACCTTTATTCTATGAAACAGCATCCCTGCATAGAGTCAGAGATGCTTGATAAGCCAGTAGCACTGGTAACGTTCTTCATGTAAGGTTTTTTAAAAAAGATCCGTTTTAAAATGTGTCACTTTTCCCCTATAATGGGATAATTTTTTTCTCTTCTGAAATACGTCACTTCCCTTTTGGTACCGGGTATGCTCATCTTTTCTTTTACATTTTGACAAGATCATTTCTTTGCTTTTGCATCTCTTTATTTTTTAAAAAGAGAAAATGTTACTTAAAGAAGATATTTCATTTGATGAATTTGTTTGTTGATGTGAAAGTATTGCAGTGCTGTGTTCTTTTGTCACTGCTCTATCGGTTGTGGTCGAAAATTGAAAACTTATGAATAACTTTAGTTGGCCAGCTGTTCGGATGAACTAAGCACAACATTTTGTAATTTAAAGAAAAATTGCGTTCTCCTCACCTGTTCTCCTCACCTGTGCAGTTGACTGTATGTCATCGACTCGGAACTAGTTTGTCCAAAGTTTCCTCTGTGGGTGGTTGGCGGATTCTCTGGTGTGGTTTGCCCCTTCTTTCCTATCAAAAATCTATCATCCTTATCTCTCTTCTTTCTTTTTTGTGTTTGTTTCTCTCTTGTAACACTTCTAATCTTCGGCACTTATATGACCTTATTCAAGTTATTCAAGTTATTGTATTGCAAGTGCCTTAAAACTTACTAAAACTAAAAGTGCCCTCTTTACTTAAGTACACTTTGGACAAAATAGTTCTGAGCCTGTCGGAATTCAAATTCCTAAAACTGATAAAAGCATGGGAAAAAAAAGCACAATGCAGAAATGATTTTTAAAAGAATGGAACATGCAAATAGTTTTTTTCTATCTCTCGAAAAGTTTGCTTTGTGGGCTTAGAACAATTGCACAGCTTGCCAACACCTTATAATTAATTAATATAATCTTAATATGAAATTGCATTTATCTTCTTTGTATGTCACCTGACTATCTTGTTAATGCTCACGGTTAAACTGCTGTTTTGTTAAGTGTTGAGGACTGTAAAATTAAGCGCCACCAATGAATTGCATTTGAAATTGTCAAGAAATTGTCCAAAACGGCCGCCCTTTTTTCAAGTAGAAAAGTGGTTGTTGAAGACAGGTGGGTGTCTTTGGACAGTGTCTTTTCAATGTTGTTTAAAACGCAAGGTGGGAAATGGGGAGTGGTCGTTTGTTCAGGTGATTGTCTTGGACAGGTTGCCCTTAGAGCAGGTCTAACTGTTTGATTGACTGTTTCTTTCTGCGTGGTGGCCTTACTTTCTGTTGAGTGTTCTAACAAAGCAATAGTCAAGATTCATCGCTGAAAAGGCAAGCCTTTGTTGTTATTATTGAAAAATATATTTTGAATTTTGTTATGATCTGGTAACCTTCAATGATAAGCATGTTCAACGAAAGAGATAAAGATTCTCTCATCTCTAGCTGGGTGACGGTATGTAACAATATATTGTTTTATAAACACATTAACAAATTATTAAGCCGACTTTGTGCTGTTGAAGCTAAAGAGGTGAGCAGAGTAAGTCTGATTCCCTGTAAGGACTACTCTGTTGACATCCACCCCTTGGCGCTTATACGACCTTATGGAACTGCGAGCGCCGTAAAACCCTCCACTAAAACAAATAAAAACTTACTGTAGCTTATGAACTTTCTCTATCTAAGGCAGGGAACTCAAACTCATTTTACCCAGGGGAGTGTGGGGGGGGGGGGGGGGGGGGGGCTGCGGAAGATTGAGTCTGGTTGAGCGTGGGCAGCATCAAATACTCCACACTATAATTCTACCCTCACAAATCAAATCTTCATTCTTTTGTGAACATTTTGGTGACTAATACAAGTCTGTAGCTTGGACTTACTTTATTTACTTTATCCGTCCTCTTGTACCTCTAATTCGTCGAGGGGAGAAAGAGCTTCCTGTCTCTAGCAAATTTGATGGCCTGGCTGGGTGGGATATTGTATGTTCTCAGGGTATCCTTCACACCCTGGATCCAGGTCTGCCTTGGTCTTCCTCTTGCTTTGTACCCTGTAGCTTAGACATTATTTTTTAATTAAGAAAATGAGTATATTTGCATATTTTCAACAAACGTGCTGTCACAAAACAAGGACAAGGAAAAGACGTGCGGCTTTTTGTGTGTCAAGAGAGTTTTTGTCCCTATTTTTGCGCAAAACGAGTGTGTTGATGATTGAATGTGGTAGTGGAAGAGGTCAGTCACTAGATCAATTCTGTGTGAACAATCAAAACAGGCATTATTTTTAGCATAGATATATATAATTCTTCCTTGCATGGGCATTAGTGTCATTAGAAAAACCTAAGTTTGTAATCTGCCTCCAGTATTAATTTGCCACCAGTGTTCACTGATCTTTCATGGTCTTCCAAAGCATCAGTCATGATTCTCTCAAGGAACATGTTAAAAAGAGTAAAGATATTCTACAGAGCTATTATTTATTTTTTTTTCCTTCCCTTTCCCATTTATATGAGATTGACGACATCTGATGTGTAGAAAAAAGTGCGTGTGATCGTATCCAATAGTGTATTACGTGCATACTTAGTATAACATGTAATTGTTGCAGAGAGAGATTCAAGGATTATAGATGTAAGTCAAGGATCTGAGAGCAATTCAATAATGATTTTAGATAGAATGGTTGTGATGAGCGATGATACTTACTTACTTTGTTACTTACTTACTTACTTACTTGGTTGAAGAATAGGCATCATTGCAGGTGGCACAATGCCATAGCCTCTCCTCCTTCCTCTCCAGGATCCATGAAAGGGTCTGTCTGCTGATCGTGCCAGTTAACAGCTGGTTGGATATTCTTCTGGCTTTTCCATGCAGGTTACTGTCTCTCCCCAACCCTCTAGAGACCCCAGCTTCCCTTAGTCTCTCTCTTGTGTGTGAAGTGCTGCCTTCATCCTCTCTGTGGTCGTTGAACCATGCTGTCAATGCTGCCAGGACTGTTGGTGGATCGAATTGCGATGATGTACAGAGCTATTATTAACAGTCAGATGAAAAAAGATTTTGCCAGTACGGAGAAGAAAGGGAACTAAGGATGTATCATTTACCAACAATAGATTATGTTGGTGCAGAAAAAGGTAATATAACATATATATATATATATATATATATATATATATATATATACGCTGCCACTTATTTTTTTTATGAGGTACATACTACTTAATTTCCGTACGATGTGCCTTTTGACACCAATTTGTGTCACGACGTGGTGGAA